ATGAAAATATGTTTCGCATTGAAGATCATTAGATTGCCTTTTCTGATTTGCTTATTCAAGGAATTGTACCTGCATGCCTAAAGTTACCGCAGTCATTTTTAAAATGCAGTCCAATCTAAAAAAAAAAAATATAGTCGAAATACAAAATTATATACTGTGGATGTTTCGAGTTAAGCAAGCAAAACAATTTTTGGAGAAGATGAAGAATTGTTCCAGAAAATTGAAATTGGTGAAATTTTGAGTTGAGGATTCATTTGCCCAATTAATCTTTGACTTTCTGGAAAAACTTATCATTACTTTTTTATTTCTTTTCCGTGTCAATAAAATAATAGCCAAAAGGCCTCAAGAAATTTTGAGTTATTGACGCTTGAGGAATGAAGCCTTTGAGTTAGGGAGGCTTGTAATGCATTCTCTCTGAGTGAATTCAAAAAGGAACTTTCAAAAATTCGGCATAGGGAGCTTTTTGTCTTAGGAAGGATTGAATTATCAAGGTTCAACTGTATTATTTACTGTGTTCATGGAAAAATTCGTTCCTTGATTTCTTACCAGCATAACTTTTTGATTTTTAACAATTTCAAGTCTCGAAATTACTGTCCTATTCTGAAATAATCTGCGTTTTGCCTATAATAAAATCTCTCTTGCGTTATTGTCAATCAAAAAGGAACTAAAGCTAATTTCAGATGACCAAGAAATGCTTGAAGAAAGAAGAACGGCAAGTAACTTTTTTTCAGCATTTTGAAAACTGCAAAACGGCAGATCAGAAGAAAATTGTATCAGGTATAAGTGTGATGATCAAGAGAGAGATGAATCACAAAATCCCGGGGAATGACTATCGTAATGATTTTTCGGTTAATAAAGAACGGTTTATTTTTGGTCCTGCTTTTATTTTTGCTGCGGTCATATTCGGAGAATTTCATTTTTTAAATGTTATAAGACTCTATAATTAATTAAGCTTATTTTTGGATGAACTTATACTTATGTTCAGCAAGGTTTGAATTCTGATGTTAACTCGCCGAGTTGACGAAGAAAGTAACCGGCGTTGAATCTGACGAGGGACACCTACAACGATTCATAGAGGTGTTTATTAATGTTTGAAAATCCGTCTACTGTTTTTCGGACAACCCTGTATATACCGTGGGGCAGAAAACCTGAAGAAAAGCAAATTGAAGAGAAGATGTCGATGTTCGATCCTCACCCCCGCAAAAAGCCACCTGCTCGAGCAGCAGATGTCCGTATCCCCCTAATCTTTTTTCTCGTGTCAAATGATTCAAAGGATTCTTCTCGCTTTATTATCATTTTCCGCTCGTTTTTTTCTTCTTCTTTTCCCTGAACCCTGTAAAGAGACGAAATCATACCCACTTTTTTCATTTTTTTTAAAGAAAACTTTGGTGGGCTGCATCTTTTTTTTTTTTGGAGGCCGAAAAGGGTTCATGACAATATTCGTGAAAATATGCGCGCGTGGGGCATTATTGTACCTCGGGTACTGACTTCTGAATGAGCAGCCGCTCTTTTCAGTGTTTGACCAGGTTGTTTGCTGAAAGAGGCTGGAAACCCAGGTTTCCTTTGAGGTGGAATATTGTTCGACAGGCTTTGCCCTGGGCCTCGAGGCCCGAAAAGCTCCGTTATAAGCACTTGGATCCTGGGTTTCCGGTGGATGTCAAACCATTCATCGAATTCTATATGACAGCTCGCCACGTTTCGCACACTTCTTTTTATTTTTTTTTACCTCGAATCTGATTTCATTTTATTTCCAATTGGAATTTCAGAAGAATTGATTTTACTTCCGGATTAGAAAATATCTTGGTATCCGACGTGACGAGAAATTCACGTCGGCGGTAATGATATCAATTGTACACGCCCTCAGATTATTATTTTCTTCGTTACTCGAATTTGAAGTTTTATTCGAATTGAACAGTAAATTTTAGAAGCAATAAGGACACTACATTTTAATCTCAGGTTCAAATAAAATTGAACCTGAGATTCAGGTTGAAAATTTTGAAATCAACTGCATGTCATGAAATTCACGTCGGTGGCCAAGACGTTGAACCGGCGTACAAAAAGCTCGACTAAAATTTCAAAGTTTCATTTCAAATGGACTACCACATTCTCAGAAGAATACGATAAACCTTCGCGTTTTAAATTAAAACTCGGAAAAGCTTGGCATCTGGCTCGTCAAGAAATTCACGTTGTTTATGATGGTGTTTTATGTTAAGTGGCTCAAGCGCACACATTAATTTTTCTCGTCTCGAGTTTGAGGTTTTATTGAAAATATACTTGAAAATTCTAGGAACAATACATTGCGAAGTCAGATTGAAATAACATTTAGCAAATTCTCGCATCCGTCGTGTCTGAAAATGCACATAATGGCGATCACACGCTCGTTTTCGTAGCTTTTCTCGACTCGGATTTCAGACTTCACATCGAGTGGACCAGGAAATTTCAAGAACAATATATTATAGCTTCAAAGTAAAATTCAGTTCAAGAAATTTTTTGAGAAATTCACGCCGGCGTTACAGGAGTTGTGATGGTTGATGTTGTGGTTGATCGTGTGGTTGTCGTTGTGTTGGTGAACTCCACTCCCAATGCAAATGCACACGTGCAACAGCCGAAATCCGATTGTGAGATGCAAGATGAGACAACCTGCAAAATCACATTTTGGATTTTACAACATCAGAGGTACATTCAACATTCCTAACTATTCATAATATATAGTCTTATCGATCTCCATTGAACTTGGCATTTTACAAAATGTTGACGTCAATTTGTTCTATATTCAACATGGTTTCCCTCAGCAGTCAAGAATTTAAATTCGTACAAATGAAAATTGCAGCGCGGAAAACAGGAAAATATGTATCCGCTAAAACAACCACGAAATATTATTGTTCAAGGCTTAAGACCAGAAAATGAATTATATTCTCAGACTGCAAAAATGAAGGCTAATTATTCTCGGATGAAGAGCAAGTGCAACTAAATCATCGAAATGAGTATCTTAGCCAAATGACCACAATAATAAATTTATGTGTAAATAATTTCTGCACACGGGGATTTCAGTCAACATCATCATATTCTGATTATTTATCATGATGGCCTGAAAGGCTTTTTCTTGCTCTAATAGGTGAATCAGCCTAGTAATTTGAGATTACGCAGAATTTATCTTCAAGTACAAGCAATTAATATTAAAATTAATATAAAATTTATATTTGTGTTACGCCATACATTCAATTTGATTCATTCTTCCGCTTTTCTGGTTTATTTTCATAAAAGTTTATCTTTTCAAAATCGTTTCATATTATCGCATTTTTACATTTTATTTTTATTGTGCTTTTTAATACGACATTTTCTCCATATTTTGAAAATATCTCTTCGCGTCGAGCAAAGCTATTTTGAAGGTAAAATAAATTAATCAAAATTCAGCATCTGCATGTTCAATGTAGAAGGAAACCGTACTCGCTGGACAGTACATTATTTATTTTAGCGCGAAAGTAAATTCTGATGATGCATTATTTTTTCAGTGATGTTCTGGAATAATTGGTCAAAATCGATAAATAGTGGTGAAACAGAAAATTTTCAGTGCAGATTAAACTGTAAAATTTCCCTCCTATGCTGCAGTCAAGTATACTGTACATTACTCAGATTGCTGTGGTACTGTACCACACGTCTATAAAATACCGTATACATGAATCACAAATCATTTAAAAATGCGAAACGAGCTTTAAACAAAGAGAACGTTGAAAGCGGCATCTTTATCAAATATGCACAGGCCTCATTTTGAGCTTTAAGCTTTGTGATAAAGATGTCGTACTCACCAAACCGAGATAGAAAAAATTTGTGAAGATGTTCGAGGATGACGTGTCACAGGGCGTTCCATTGCAATAAATAGGCTTTGGACTTGGTTCAGCTGGCGAAGAACCGCCCTTGGAAGTTTTAAAAAAGGTACGCTTGACAACCGAGTCATCTGCTGTGCTTTCCGAGTGCAGAAAATCTTCGCAAAATGGAGAGTTTTTTAAAGCCGAAGAAACCTGGCCGAGCTGTTCTTGCGTGAGTGATTTCGGTGGAATGTCACTTGAGGGGAAATTGGTCGATGCGTCACTCAAACAATCACGAGGACTGGGTTCGGTTGAACCCCGTTTATGTTTCACTGATCCAGCCATTGTTCCGCGGGGTATGCACGAATTTAAAATCAGCAATACGGAGATAGCGAAACAGATTCTAAACGTTTGTCCAGACATTTTAGTTTTAAAAACAATCACACTCGATTCGTCGTTAATCTGAGGTTTCATGCAGCATGCAATGACCTGCAGCCTTCTAGATTGACGTACGAGGAGAAGAGGCGAAGGACTGCAGAATCCGTGCGCACTTCGATTCGGGTTTACTGTATTAAGTCTAGTTCATCTAACGGTGAACGTTTCTCCTAGATCCATGGTCGAGCAATAAAAATGTTGATACCAGCGTGATAATCGTAAGAGAGAAGATCGTTCAAAATTCGGTCATCCGAGTGTGCCAATGAGGAGGTAACGGGAACGAATTTGATGCGAACTGTAGATTACAGTACAATACTTTCGTTTCTGCTCCTTTATCGCGACATCTAGAAAAGTTTACGGAAAATTTGACTACATCTTCGATGAGACTTTCTGTTATCATGGCGGCGTCCCGGGATGTCGTGTGGCCGTGTCGGGGAATAGGCTTGTGGAAGAGTTGCGTCCGGTTGATAACTTCCGTTACCATGGGTTCGTGCACGATTGGTTTTCTGAGTGGCGGCGGTAGTATACTCGTTAGGGTAATTCTGACGGTGTTCTTCGAGATTGAAGTTGCCTGGTGGTTTTGTGGCCCATCGCGCGTTGTTTTAATGCCAGCTGTTGATGTATCTTTCTCTTTGCAGTTTTAGTGCTTTATCGCGGGGTGATACTCGGGCACATCGACCATGGTATGCCACGTGCTTATAACTACCGGTTAACTTTCGCATTTATGCTGATTGTGTATTTTTACAGAGCCTGATCGTCAAGGAAGATTTCCAGCACATCTTGCGTGTGATGAACACGAACATCGATGGTAAGCGCAAGGTGATGTTCGCAATGACCGCCATCAAGGGAGTCGGACGTCGGTATTCGAATTTGGTGTGCAAGAAGGCAGACATCGACCTTAACAAGCGCGCGGGAGAGCTTTCTGAAGAAGAGGTGGAGAAGTCGTTTTCGAACGATACGTAGTCCGGAAACTGACTGATTATTAATTCGTTTCCAGGTTGAGAAGGTGGTTACGATCATGTCTAACCCTCGTCAGTACAAGATCCCGGATTGGTTTTTGAATAGGCAGAAGGATATAAAGGACGGGAAATACTCCCAGGTGATTATAGCTTTTGCGTCCTTGCCATCTTTGCAGACCAATAATACTGCTGGTGTGATGCATTTTAATGAAAAACAATCTTTCTCTTCTTAGATCATGTCCAATAATTTGGATACGAAGCTTCGTGAAGATTTGGAGCGACTGAAGAAGATCCGTGCCCATCGTGGTCTTCGTCACTACTGGGGGTAAATACTGATCATGAATGTGCGTGGATCATTTTTTGGGATTTTCTAATCGTGACTTATTACAGCCTGCGAGTGAGAGGACAGCACACGAAGACGACTGGTCGTCGTGGCAAGACTGTCGGTGTGTCGAAGAAGAAGGGCTAATTTTCCGATTGGTACGGCTCCGGTCGTTTTTCCTCGTGACTTCTCTGGACGCGTTCTGCTTCGTGAGTCGGGAGGATTAAAAATGTTTCCGAACGAATCTTTTTCATTTCCTGACCTGCTGAGGTCTTTGAGGTCAAATTCCGTATTATTGCAGAGTCATTTGAGATTCATCACCCAGTTTTGCCACTCATCGTTTCTCTGGAGAATCCGAATCCAGTCGCGTTCGAGATTTGAAAGTTTCACGCAGGGGAAGTCGTTCTGGCAACTATTACATACACGTTACACAATATTGTATGTTCTAGGCTTAATCATTGAAAATGTCTTCGTCCGGTGTGACTCTCACGGCGCCTGTAAATATCGCGTTGATAAAGTACTGGGGAAAGTTGGATGAAACGGCGATCATTCCTACCAACGATTCTCTTAGTTTCACGCTTTCTCAAGATGATATGTGTGCCACTACAACTGCAATGACCGTTGCTCGGGGAGTAAAATCGAAGTTCTGGTTAAATGGCAAGGAAATGGATCTCGGTCACCCACGTATACGGGCTGTCGTTGAGGAAGTGCGAAAAATAGCCAAGGTTCAGGGAACGGATGAAACACTTTTGGACTTGCCAGTTCGTATCGCTTCGATCAACAATTTCCCCACGGCAGCTGGGTTAGCTTCCAGTGCCGCAGGTTATGCAGCCGCCACTGCTGCTCTTGGTGCTTTATACGGGGTGAAAGGAGATCTGAGCAGGATTGCAAGAATTGGATCAGGGTCAGCATGCAGAAGCATATCCGGAGGGTTTGTGAGATGGATTGCAGGTACTCGTTGTGCATCCTTAATCGTATTCGCCGGAAAACTCCGCAAAGGAAAATCTTCTATGATTTTTTCAGTTTTTATGATGCTTGATGAAAACCGAACATTTATTGAGTTTCATTTGTTGATATGCATCCTCTTGCTATTTTCTTGCGCGTGTCCATGTTTAATATTCCAGACCTGTATGTACACTATTAAGTCGCAGAAGAGTTCCAAGCGCAATGGTGCATGTTCTTGAATTTTCTCACGATTTCCAGCTAAGATTCAGTGGGCAACTGGAATGTTTTCTTTGAAATACCGTAGTTTCTACTTCTTGTTGAGTTATGTCAAAGCTGGTCTGCGGTTTCCTGTGTGTCAAGATTTAATGATACCTTCGTTAGTCGATTTTTGATACGTGGTTGGACGTATAAAAGTCCATCTGAATCTTCAGTGAGCAAGTGTTCGTACTCATCGTTGCAGCGCGTATCCTGATTTTCTGCTCATTCAGACATCTGTTTCTGGATGAATTGCCCCAAGCAAAACCTCAACGTATCTATCATCACTTGCTTCTATCATTCTAATGTTTCTCAAGTAGAAAAAACGTGAATACACTTCAGACCTGAGAAAATGTAAATTCAGGCGACACCTATTTCATATTGAGCAGAATCATGGAACGTGATTTGTATTGAGAGTTACTATATTGTACAGGTGGACTCTCGACTAGGAAATGCAAAGGGCCAGAAGTAAATTCGTTGAAGAGTAACTACGGAGAGAAACCTCTGGGACCGAAAAATATCCGTAATACTTTGCAGGAAATACAGTATTATTTTAACAAGATTGTTAGAGAGAGTCCACCTGCACTGTATACCTTAATTGGCTCAGGCACGCATTTGTCCTCCAAATTGTGTTTTATGCTAATCATGGCATTCAAGGGGAACTAAGTCAATTCGTGTTACGTACCATCAATAGTTCATCAAGTTCCATCGCTGATTCATTCTTCCGTTTCAAGGATCAACGTCTGAGGATTCGATTGCTGTTCAAGTCGCTCCAGAAAATCATTGGCCGTCGCTTCGCTGGCTGATCTGCGTTGTTAGGGCGACACCAAAGGCTGTGGGAAGCACGGAAGGAATGCGGCGTACGATTCAGACGAGTCCATTGATGCCTGCTCGTATTGCCTCGGTTCCTGATAAAATTTCCGCCATCACCAAAGCTATTCAGGAACGAAATTTCCGTGCTATGGCGGAATTAACGATGCAAGATTCCAACCAATTTCACGCTATATGCCTCGACACATTCCCACCGCTGTTCTATATGAATGATGTATCCCATCGAATCATAGACTTCGTTCATGATTATAATCGCGTGAAGGGGTCCCTCATAGCGGGGTATACATTTGATGCAGGTCCAAATGCGTGTTTGTTTACTGAACAAGAAAATTTTGATGAATTGGCGTCCGTCGTGGAGGCCTTGTTCTCTGATGGTGTGGAGACGGATTTCGTGAAAGGAATGAAGCCTGAACGAAAAGTGGATGCGTCAAAATTGTTGGATTCGATTAATGTTCAGCCGATCAAAGGTGGGATAAAGTACGCGATTGGAACTAAGTTGGGTGGTGGCCCGAGGAAAATTGATCACGAAAAATTCTCCCTCCTGGATGCCAATGGGGAGCTGATCGACAGGGCATAAATCTGGTTGCATTTATTGCTTTTATCTGCCGCACATTGCAGTGTCGGTTGCGGCAGATTTGATCAAAAAGCGTGACGGTTGTGGTGCTTTATCTGGAGAATCCTTGGTTTATGGGGAAATGTACCGATTTTCAACGATTCGGATATTTGTTATATCTCTTCTGCATTTTAAATGTCAAGAGCATGATTGACGTCGGATCAAGCGCCCAATTATTTTCTTATATTGTATGAGCAGCAGTGAGGCCTATGGGATTTTAGCAGACCCGTTGTGGCTCAGCGTTGCAGAATATGTCTATATAAATTTGGCACATGTATGCAGGTGCACTCTCTACATCTAAATTCAGGGGATCGGAGACAATTCGTTGCAAAGAAATTATTTCTTAGAGAACCTCAATATTATGGGTACAGTATATCGAGGACCCCACGGGACCACAAAAAACTTGTCATGAAGAGAAAATTGTAGTTGACAAAATCTTGGAAGAGAGAGTCTAACTGTACTTCATTCATGAGAAGCTTGTGATGTCCATGAAATTTACGAAAAGTCCTGTTACATTCAAGTTCAAATCTAATGCATCCTTCCTCTCACTGCTGCCTCCACGAGTAGGATCAGTTCTTGTAGTTGAAATTTTCCATGAGGAATAATGGTTTTACTAGGTATCAAATTGGCAAAAAGTTGATTCAGCGTTAAAATTTATGAAGAAAAACTTTTCAACACCTCGGAAATGAAAATACTGTATGACGGTTGATCATCCATCACTTGCACTAACTTCTTCTGTAGTTCTGAATTATGATCATGGTGCGGCAAAATGGACGTTCACCTGCACTGACATCCATCAGATGTGTAGAAAAGTATACGAAGACTTGAACGGACGTTGAGAATGTATTCTGCATAATTTTTGGACGTCTATTTTTTCGCTGACGTCAAGGGGTGGATAGAAACTTTCTTTTGTGGATCAACGGTGCCATATGAGCGCACCAAGCTGCGTATCAATTCTGACGGACAATTCAGAACTCCTTAGGACCACACCCTCATCTGACCTGCTCATGAGATGATGCATCGATTCGGTGGACATAAGTCTCTCATCTGACACCCTCACCGCGGGTTAATACAAGCGTTTAATTATTGCATGTAGTCTGTGGGGATTTTCATCGTTTAAAAGAATCGTTTCGAAATTTTTCCATGACAGAAAACATCGGAGCTCTTCGCCTTATATGTGTCACAAGATTATGAAGACAAACGAAGGATCAATCTGCAATTGGGAGAAGGCTAAGGCAATTCCGGAGCTGAGGTCACTGCATTCGCTTTTCCGCAACCGAGCCAGAAATCGGAAAAAGTCTTGGGATACTGCGGTTCAGCATGAACCACGTCGTCATCGAATCTCCAAAACTTCTTTCCCTTGACGAAGTAAGTCCTCCCTATATATATATGTAACCTCATGAGATAATAATAATTGATAGAATATAGAGCGACAAATTTAATATTCTTTGTATCGAACTTGCCTTTCCATGCAAACGCTGCATCGAGATCTTCGGGTATTCCCCGCCATTTGCTCACGGGTCTCGGATAATCATGCGATATTGTTCGCGTTGTGGAGTTGTGCTTCCAATACATGTTCTTACTGGATAAAGTTTGGGAACTTATTAGCATGAATCAAATTGAAGCTTCTGAAGAGGTTCTTTACGTTTCTTATTACGAAATTTCCGCATTTTGTAAATAGCGATCGAAAAAGTATAAATCGTCTGTAATGCATATTGCTCACCTGAAAAAGTAGACAGCCGAATTTTTCGGCCAAACCAGAGCGGCGTCTACTTTCTGGATGTAATCAGGAAGATGCAAATCCGTGATCGGATATGGTCCCCTCGTGTGCATTCCGTCGAATGTGCAAAACTTCCGACCTGTGCCCGGAAGCATAATGGTTGCGTAAATAAATGTAATGAAATGAGACGCCAGGACCGTCTTCTCGTATCGAGTACGTTTCCAACCATGACAATAAATGATAAATCGCTAATTATTTTATCAAAAGCCCTTTTATTATACAATATTCTGCAAAATATCCAAATCTTAAATCTTCCCAGCATGGAATTGTTTTTTTTTAATTGAGCGGAAGCCATCAAAATCATATTTAGCTCATTTCATGCACCTCATTCAGATGAGCAGGAACTTTGCACATGCATCAGAGGAATATATACCAGTTGGATGAAATGTGTAACATCGAGGAATTTGACATAGCAATTTAAATTCAATGCATAAATCCCGAAGGCAGAAAATTTTGATATTTGAAATAATAAAAAGGGCATAACGGAATAGTGTACTGTGATTGAAACTAAAGCGGTCAAACTTCAGCTACAGAATTTGAAAAAAAAAAATTCTAACTTAACTGATGGGAAATTTTGAATCGAGGCGCACGCGTTCATTCTACTTTTCTTCGAATCGTGAAGTTAAAGTTTAACCAAAATAATTTGAACGGTGATTTTCAAAGCGTAACTGTGGAATAAACTTTTTCGCCAGTTTCACGCAGGATTAGGAGCTTCCTTTTTTTATTTCCGATGACAACCCCTTTTCAACATCTGACGACATGTTTCAAGCATATTATCGTTTTCGTCTTATGACGAACGCTGATAAGAATCTTTCATATATTTTCTTAAATGCCCCGTCATATCGCAGCTAAAAACGAACTCACCAGAGAACGTAATGATGTTCCCAGACCCTGGTTCCTCGTAAACAGCATCAACCACAGTGCAATCTTCCGGAAGTGCAGGGAAAAGTGCCGACGTTTCGACGGGGTAAGAGCTTTCTAGTGCGTTTGGAGCACGATACCTCCAAAGGAACTTTATATGATGAGACGCGGGTGAACACGATTATTACCTGTTTACATCGAGCAGATGCTGCTTTCGTTAGCGAGAAATGTAAGGACATTGTGTTCATAACTTCGTTTGTTCTCAAAAATATTAAAACGGTATTGCTGATTAAATGGCAAAATCAATGGCTCGCTAACTGACGATAAATTCGTTGAGTCATGAACGTGGATTCGTCATTCTGCAAGTTCTAAATCATCCGATTTTTTTTTTGAGAAATCTCAATGGAAGATTCTGAGAGACAAAATAAAGGTTTTGTTATTATTCTCGTCTAACCGGGTTACTGCAAATTAAAAAGCCAGTGGATTATTCAATGCTTTACAACGTGTGATGCTCAATGAGACGAAGAATGCAAATTGAATCAAAAGAACTAAAGAAGTCGTCAGATTTTCTTTTAAACCACGCACACTTTTTCTGATTGATTGCATCAGCTACTAATTATTCGGAGAAAGAAAGAAATTAGCGCTGGTGAAATATTTTCTGCAGCTGCAAATATATGTGGGTATATCACGTCTGATAATTTTTCCATCAACAAAGACTGGTGTAAAGATTTGAATCTGTGAAATTCGCCTACGCGGCATTATCGAAATGTTTTTCAGGTAAAATATACTGTTATTTGTTCTGCGCACTTTTTCAAACAACCGAGGTATTAAACGGCGATGCTGCTAATGTAATTTTGATTGGAAAGGTGAATCATACCTAAAATACATCTTCAAGATGCTACGGTTCAGGAAAAACAACAATTGAAGAAAGGTGTGCTCTATCTTTGTCCGATCAAGAGTAAGTTAACGGATAAGACTTGATATCAAACAAGTCAAGGCTAACCATCAGTGATACCCCTCTTTTTTTGGGTAGAATCGGCAGGTTCAAGAAGCTCACCTCATTTTTGAAGATGAATATTTCACCTCGAAGATTTCCAATTGCACCAAGATCTCCGTTGCAAATTTCAGGTACAACAGAAAGCTTTTCTGTTGTTGGCAATGGAAAAGCGTTGGGCTGACTTGTGGTTGTGAGTTCCTCGGAATAGTTGGTGCTGACGGAGGAATTTTCAACATCTTGCGAATGCTCCAAATGTTCCTCCACAGTTTCGAAATCTCCTTCATACACTGCTGCGTATTTCCTTTGATCTGGCTCTATTGTAGTTTCTTCATTTATCCTGCCTAGATAGAAGAAGAATTAAAGATGAAAGGAAAAAATTTAAATCAACTCATAGCATTTCAAACCTTTCTCTGATGTTTCAGTGCTCAAGGCTCCATGAGTTGGCGATGGAGATACAGATGTCACCTCCGCTGTATTTTGTGTTTCTTCACTTGCAACCGTTGGAGAGTTTCCGATTGTCTCGGAGTCTTCCGCAAGTCTTCTAGCAACTGTGGAAGATGCTTGAATCTTAAGTCTCGATAAACATCATGCACGTCTAAATAAAAAATGACAAGATCTCTGAAAAAGAAAATCGTGTGTGTGTCACAAAATGTTTCGCACGCTTCCCATTATAATAAAAAATACGGTGACGTACCATCACCCAGCACGTGGTAACAGTGTGAGATCGTGTATCATGTGTATATTACGCATGAAGCTTGCTTAACGATGCATGCAACAATTTTTGTGATGTTGAATAATAAAATATTGTGTTTTTCTCTTGTGAATAGACGACTGAAATACCCGTTGCAGCGTGTATATTGTTGAGCGCGCACACGCCTCGTATGGGATTAAATCGTGACAGACGCAGGCCCAAGGCATTGCGTTAATCCTGATGGAATGAATGACCCAATTTTGCAATTGCGTCGCAAATAACTATAACAGCCTTACGCATCCTGGGTTCACTTACTTGCGGTGCATGTTAGCAGCTCAAAATGGATGGATGCGTACATATGCGTTGTTCCCGGGTATTCTTATCCATCAAATACGTATGCTGGGATTACGGCATTTATTAAGAAGACCACCCTGATTAATCAGAGAACATATAATGACAGCGTAATTTTTTAAATGTTTGCTTTATCTATTGCTTCTAATATGCGAACTTGTCATAAGGAAATGCAAAATGTTTTCCATCCCAGTATTGCTGATGCGTGTTTCTGAATAGGACAGCCTATATGCGAGAAAATCTTACTCCGCTGCTTGCTTTTTGAATCGCACAAACTCCTCAAAGTAATTATTTCATTGACGAAATTAAAATTCTAAAGAATATGCATTATTATACTCGTTTCGCTATATAAGCTGACGTATAAGTATTCCAATAACTTATTCATTCCGCAATTATTATTGTCATCACGCAGCTATAAAAA